AAGGTTGGGAGAGAGGAGCTGGCCGCACCTGCTCACAGAGGGAGCGGTATCCGTTCTCCTCCAGGCGATCCAGCTCGAAGGTTTCCCCCAGGAGCGGGTTGAAGGGTTTGCTGGTGCGGAAGACGGTGGTGGAGTAGGAGGACACGGTGAAAGCGGCCACGTAGCACAGCTGCTCCAGGGAGCTCTCGCACCGCGCCGCCCGATCCAGGAGCTCGTGATATTCCAGGTCCTCCGTCAGCCGCTGCAGCATGGACAGCGGCTCATTGAAATTCACCTGGAAGAGGGAAAGGGTCAGAAAAAAGAAGGTTCCAGGGTGCCCCGTGCCCACCTGCTGGCTGCATCTGTGCTCACTGGCATGGGAATCTTGGACAGCTCCTTTCCGATGCAGTTCTTCATGATGCTCCAGAGGTTGAGGCTGTAGTTGGGTTTGTAGGGAATGCGGGTTCTTTTCTCCTTCTTGGTGTCCTCAACCGGGTGCTTGTACTAGGGAGAGGGGAGACAAAGACTGTTATATCCCTGTGACCCCCCCAAACCACTTCCATGGGAATTTGGGCACCCCCAAGCCATAAAGCCCCATCCCACCTGCTCATCCAGGCTGATGTCACTGCTGGTGCCACTGATGTTGCTCCCAGTTCTCCTGGGAAGGAGGGAAAGGGGGTGAACATTCACGAGCAGGGCAGAGCAGAGAGGGGATTCCCTTCTCCCCCAACACTCACTTGTGGCCCATTATGTCGGGCATGGGGAAGATCTCTGGGGCGTCAAAGAACTCATTGTTGTCATCATCCTCATCACTCAAGTCACCTTTGGCAGGGCAGCACAGATCTGGGAAAGGGGACAGAGCTGGTGAGGAAGGGACATCACCCCTGGTTTCCTGCCGAAGGCTCCCCTATCACCATCAGCAAGACGAGGGAGTCACACCTCACCCCAGCTCTGAGGGGTGTCAGAGGATAAGGCTCAGAGGAGCCAGTTTGGACCCTGTTGTGGATGTCAGAACCCCTTGGCTACACAGGTGAGATGGAACAGACACAACCCTTGGAATCAGCAGAGCCTGGCTTGGAAAATTCCAGAGACACGTGGGCACAGCACTTGTCCTTCCCCACCTTTGCCAGAGCCTCCAGTGCCAGGCGTGATGGCGGGGAGCACGGTGGCCCCCCGGAAAGCCCTTTCCAGGTGGTTGTGCTGCTTGGCCAGCTGCTCCAGCGTCTCCTCCAGCCGGATCCGCTGATCCCGCTCCTGCTGCAGCGACTTCTGCCACTTCTTCCCGTGCGTTTGTGCCAGGAGCATGAAATCCCGGCAGGCCTGTGGGGAAACCGTGTTCAGCATGGAAGTGGGGGCTTTTCCCACTGAGGTGGAATCCTCAGGATGGGGACTCACGTTGATCATGGCGTTGGAGGTGATGCGGAAGAGCGTGGCCCGCTCGTTGACCTGCTTGATCTTCTCCGTGCTGTCTGGAGGGAGTCGCAGGGCCTCGAGCTCGCTGAGGGAGCGCTGCAGGGCCGTGCCATGCTTGGCAATCAGGTCGTTGCAGGTGCTCAGGTCCTCCACTTTGCTGGATAAAATCCGCAGGGTGCTCTGCAGCTCCGTCTTGTCCGTCTGTGACACAGACTCGTCGCCAGAGTCGTCTGCAGGTGGGAAGGGAGGGGGAGTGTGGGATTGGGGCTGCCAGGAAGGGCAAAGGGGGATCCCCAAATCCCTGAGGGCTCCCAAACACTGACGGTCCAACTCTGTGCACGCCAGGCTGTTGGGGTCACATGTGCATGGATATAGCTATCCCGTTCCAAACCTTCTTGCTGGAGATGCTGGGATGCTGCCCAGGGCACTGGGATCCTGCCCTAGGTCCTATGAGGCACTGGAATGTTGCCATGGGAGCACTGGGTTTGTGAGGAACTCAAAGCCTGTCCTAAGGACAATGATGCTGCCCTGTGATATTGCCCTGAGCTCACTGGGATCATGCCTGAGGCCACTGGGATACTGTGCCCTGTGGGGCTGGGATTCTTCTCTCTGGGCATTGGGATCCTGCCCTCGGTCCTGTGAGGCACTGAGATTCTATCCTGGGGACACTGGGATCCTGTGGAACACTAATATCCTGCCCTGGGTCCCGTGGCGTACTGGGATCCTGCCCTGGGATTCTTGCTGCCTGTGGGGCTCAGGGAACCTGGCCTGGGGTCTGTGTGGCACTGGGATCCCACTCTGAGGACACTGATCCTACCCTGGGCACTGTCGGGCACTGGGATTTCACCCTGAGGGCACTGTGACCCTGCCATGGATCCAGGAATTCCGTACCTGACTCCTCCAGCATCTTGACAGCCTTGGCCTTGGCGAGTTCAAGGGCGGTGACCCAGCGCTGCCGCTCCACCTCAGAGCTGGCCTTGAGGTGGTAGGTCTGGGCTCCGCCGTTGGAGATGATGAAATTGCAGGAATCCTCCACGGTGATGTTGGCCGTGGCCAGATTGATGGTGCCGCGGCACGTGTGGCCCATCTCCGCCTTGGATCTGCACGGGAAGGCGGCGGTGAGGGAAGGACAGGGCCAGGATTCGCGGGATGAGCCCTCGGGGGGCTGCGCAGGGGGCTCGGCATTCCCTGTCCGGCAGCCAGGGCTATTAATAGGGAGGGTGTGCTGGCGCCGGAGCGGGGCCAAGTCTGGGGACGTCGCTTTCAGGGGACAAGTCCACAGGCCCCAGGAGTGGCCTCAGGGATCCTGGAGTCTCAGGGATCCGGTGCTTCCCGGATCCTGGCACGGGGGTGAAGTCCCAGAGAGGCCGCGCCAGGCGGGCACTCCCCTTCCACGTCACCGGGTGACAGAGGTGATATCCAGCCGGGACACCCCCACCGCGGTGCCCCCCCGTTGCCAGCGGTGTAACCGGAGCCGGCATCTACCGGAGGCTCCGGTTCCCCATAAATAATTGAGGGACAAGACCCCACCCGGGGCGGGCTCAGGTGTCCCCGCGGGTGACAACGCATGAGGCCACCGGGAAGAGCGGCTGGGAGGGACAGCGGGATCCGGGAGCTGCGAGGGCTCCAGACCCCCGCCTCCACCCGCCCTGAAATACCCACGGGAACAGAGATGTGACAATCACAGGGACAGAGAGGTGACAACCACGGGGACAGGGATGTGACAACCGCCCCGCTCTCCTGCTGGCACAGAGGGCCGGCGGGGAGTGGGCTAACGAACCCGTCCCCCCGCCAAGAGCAGCCCCGGTGACCGGGAAGTGATATCTCCCGTGACATGGAGGTGACAACTGCAGGGAAAGGGAGGTGACAGCCGCCCTCCTTCCCGGCTGGCACCGGGGCACCGAGCGCTCCCCTGCCTGGTACGAGGAGCCCATACCCGCTTCCCTCCCGCCGCGGGGGCTCAGCCCGGCCCCAAGGTCACGGGGGGCCCGGGGGACGCCGGGGCGGGTCCCGGTGCGTACCGGTAGTAGCTGAGCAGCCCATTGCTGAGCACGAACCAGCGCCGCTGGTATCCCTTGATGTAGTTGGTCCACTTGAAGAGCCAACCCTCACGGGCTGAGCCGGGACCGGCCCCGCCGCCGCCCGCGCCGGTTCCGCCGCCCGCCGACGCTGTCGGTGGCCCCGGCGCCGCCGTCGGTGCCGCTGCAGCCCCGACACTCGCCGCCGGTGAGGGCAGGGCCGGGGGCGCGCCGGTGGCCGCGGGCAGCGCCGCGGGCCCGGGGGGCGCGGCCGGGCCGGGCCCCGCGCCCGCCGCACGCAGCTCCGCCATCGCCGCCGCCGCCACCGCCCCGCCGCGTTGCCGTCACTCGCCCCGCCCACGTCCGCGCCCCATTGGCGGCCAGGGCGTCGGGGGGGCAGCTCGCGCGTTGCGATTGGTCGGGGGCGGTCTCCTCGGCCGTCAATCAGACGGGGAGCCAATGGGCGGGGGAGCAGCGCGCCGCGCGTGGTGACGGCGAGCGGTGAGTCACCCGCTAGCGATTGGTGGAGGGGCGGGGCATCTCGCGACGCGCACTGCCATTGGCTGAGATGTAGCCACGCCCCCTGCCCTCTGCCCACGGAGGTACTCCCGGGGGTCGAGGGTTCGAGACCGCCGAGGGGACAGAGCGGGGACACCGTGGGGCTGCGCACGGGGTAGCTCGGGCCAGAGAAGGAGAGACCAGGCTGGCAGCCGTATACAATTCATCTTTATTTACAATACCCTATAAAAATGTAAATTTAGAAACTTTATTCTCATTAACCAGAACCAAAAAGTGGGAGGGACAGGGGAAAAAAAACAAACAAACAAAAAAAAATTACTGCAAGCAAATGAAACTAAGGAAGCAAAAAAAAAGGGGAAAAAAAGAAGAAAAAAAAGAAAAAACAAAACAAAAAAATAGCAGGAGAAAAGGGAACAAAAAGCAATAAAATAAAATAATAATAATAAATGAACTTTCCACTTGATCTGTCAGAGGAAAAGGACAGTGAAAGGGCCGGGAAGAGCGGAGGGGGGCTGGTTAATGCCAGAAGGAATTCCGAGGTGTAAAATCCCTACATGTGCAAATCTCGTTTTTTTCTTTTTTTAAAGAAAAAAAAAAAAAAAAAGGTAAAATTATCCCCCAACCACCACCACCACCACCTTCCCGAGGAGCAGCACAGCTGAATCCACCCGGATCCGATCCAGAGGGGACAGAGACCCGGCTGTGCCCCCACCACCCCGGAGCTGCTGGGGCTGATCCCGGGGGGGGGGAGGGAAGGAGCCGAATTTTGGGAAGACGAGGCAAATGTGCGAAATAGGTGTGTGCAGTGTGGGAAAGGGCAGGAAGTAGAGCTCAGTGCTTGTGGGAAGAGCTGGAGAAGGAGCAGTGGGGAGCCCCTGGCCATGGACGTGGAGCGAGGGGCCCCCTGCTTCACGGGATCCTCAGTAGTGTGTGTGTCTGTGTGTGTGTGTGTGTGTGTGTGTGTGTGTGTGTGT